GCCTTGAACAGGTAATTCACAAAAGAGAATATTCAAATGGTCAAAAATACATATATGAAAATGTGCTCAATCTCGCAAGCTATCAGAGAAATACAACCACAATGAGATTTTTATTACTAACCTACTATAGTAGCTATAATGAAAAACACAATACCACTGTTGGTAAGGATGTGGACCAACTGGAACTTTCATGTACTTATAGGAGTGTAAATAGGTGCAATTAGTTTAGAAAATTGTTAGAACAGTAGCTACTAAAGCCAAACATAGCCATCTCCTTTGATCCAGCGATTCCACTTATATACCAAACAGCTGTGTATACATACACTCATCAAAAGGCAAGTAAAAGAGAATGTGTCAATAGCTCTAAACTGGAAACAACCCAAATAGCCATCACCAAGAGAATGGATCAACAAATTATGGTATATTCACACAATAGAATTTTATTCAGCAATGAGAATGAACAATCTACTTGTATATACAACAATATGGAGGAACCTTGCGAACACAATGGATGAACAATGCTAGACACCAAAAAGTATATACTATCTGACTCCACTTACATAAAGTTTAAAAACAGGAAAATCTAATTGATGGAGGTGGAAGTCAGAATAGCGGTTACCTTTGGGAAGGGGGATACTTACTGGTAAAGGGTGTGTGTGGAGGGTGAGGATTTTCAGGATACAGTAATGCTTTATTTCTTGATGTGGGTGATGGTTACATGAGTTGAACATTTTGTGAAAATTAACTAAGCTGTACATTTATGGTCTGTGCACTTTTCTGCATGAATGTTCAATTTTAATATAAATTTTACTTTAAAACTCAGTAACGAAATATAATCAACAGCAACCAAAAAGCCAACAACATTAAAATGTCTAAGGATGAACAGCTTGGGGTCGAGGTCCACAATATAATTCCAAAGTCTCAGGTTCTAGTGACTAAAAAGCTGGACTTCAAGTTTATGATCATAAATCTCAGAAGGCTCTCAATACAACCAGATAATTCCCCTACACTTCCTTACTGCATCCATGTTCCGTCCCTGAAACAACATTATCACCTTCCCTTCTCTCCTCCCATCACCAACACCCTCTCAGCTGATGAACTCATTGGGTACTTCACAGAGAAAAGAAATGTAACCATATAAGAACACTCCATCTCACCATCATCAGTTCACCAGCCCACCTGCCTGTCTGCCCATATCCTCCATCTTCCCACCAGTTCTCATGGATGAAAGGGCACTTTGATCCCTTCCATTCTCCACTTCTCAAGGTCTTCCACAATTATCCAGTTCTTTCTTCAGCATCATCAATTTCTCCCTCTCCCTGGAATCTAAATATGCCTAAACATTAATACCTTTTAAGAAAGTCTCCCTTACCCTGTATTCCCTGCCAACCACTGCTCAATTTCTCCAGTCCTTATTCACAGTAAACTCCTTACAAGAGGCATCTGTGTTTACTATCTCCTCTTCCACCCCTCCTGTTCTCTCTTCATCCCTTCTTATTTGGTCTTCATTTCCACCCCTCCATGTAAGTGGCACCTATCAGGACCATTAATTGCTTACCAGTTACCAAACTCAATGGTCTCATCTCAGTGCTCATCTTACTCTCAGAAGCATTTGACCAAGTTGACTTCATCCTTGAAACACCTTCTGGCTTCCATCATACCACACTCTCCTGATTTTCCTTCTAGCTTGCTGGGTGCTCTTTCTCAGTCTTTCTCCTCTTCTACTAAACTTCCAAAGCTGGACTGCCCTAGGCTAAGTTCTGGCCTCCTTTTCTTTGCTATCTACATTATCCCTAGCTCCATGGCTTCACATACCATCTCTACCCTTATGTCTCATATTTGTATCTCCAGCCTGGACCTCTCTCTTGAGTTCTGAACTTACACATCTAATGGTGTAAGTCACATAAGGCATCTCAAGTTAATATGGCACAAATAGAAAACTACTGATTCCATCCTCCCCACAATAAAATATCCACTTTTCCACTACCCTTAGACATTTCTGGAAATGGTACCACTTTCTATGAGTTGTTTAAGCCTCCCTCCAAAAAAAACTAGGAGTCATCCATAATTGTTTTTTTCCTCTAACACTCTGTACCCAATCCTATTAGTAAGTCCTATCAATTCCATTTTCTAAATGAATTCAGAATCCTACCACTTCCCACTGGCTCTAGCTACCTCCCTAGTCCTAGCCACTATCATCGATCACATTGTTCAACTGGTCTACCAGTTTTCAGACTTGCCTCCAGAATGACTTCACTAAAGTATATGTCAGCTGATGTCATCCCTGCAAATCCCCCAGGCTGTCTCAGGGCAACAGGAAGCAGCTATCCATGGATGAAGCAGCACACAGACGACATGGGGACTGGTGATCCTGGTAGGAAGGCTATACAGGGAGCATGGAAGTGTCCAGACATCTTCAAAAGGAGAGAAAAAGTAACATGGGTCACTCCCTTTGATACTCCCCTAGGCATTGAGCAATGCTAAAAGGAGATGCATAATGTAGCAGATGCCACTGGTACTCCACCCATAGCTCCTCTGCCCTCCCCAGAGGACCCCTACAGATAGTCTTGTATACACCTACAGGCTTTTTGCATCTCTCTACCTGGCCTGGGAGCATGCTGAGCCCACACATAGGACAAGCCCCAGGAACCAGGGAGTTCATGTGGAAGTTGGTGGATAAATACTCCAGCTTTCTCGTTCAGTAGAACATTTCTGAGATGTGTGCTAGATTGAACCCCAGTTGCCCACAGTGGTAACCAAGCTCACAGCCTGCATGAGCTTTCCTCCCTGTTCTGTCCCACTTCTCACTCTCTTGCTGTGCTTCCTGGGATTCTCTCTGAAATAAACCACTTGCACAGAAACCCTAATATGAAGTGTGGACGTAAGTTTCAGACAAATTTTAAAAGTAATAGATTCTTAAGTCCATGTCTGGGTATTATATTAGCTCCATATTTATTTATTTGTGTATAAATATGCAAAAGTAGAGCATATATTCATCATCGACTATAGGCACAGGTTAAAATTTTTTCTCTTTTCTCCATTAACCATTAGTTTGTACTCTAGTTAAAAGGACTTGAAAGGACTGTGTCAGATTCCAGGTAAATAACTACTCACCAGCTGCCTCTAAAGAAAGAGGGGAGAAGAGGACACAGTCTGCTCCAGCACTGAGTTTCACTTGTGTGATTTAAGGAGTGGTCTGACTGTGTCTGTCTGTCTGTCTGTCTGTCTGTCTGTCTCTCTCTCTCTCTGGCTGGCTTCCCCAAAGAATGAAAATTCCTTGAGATCAGGTCTTTGTTCATTTTGAGCTACCAGTCTCTCTCTCTCTCTCTTTCTCTCTCTCTCACACACACACACACACACACACACACACACACACACACACACACACACACACACACACGGGAAATGTACGCACCACTCAACAGTCTGCAAAACTTCCCTCCAGTTCTTTTGAAGTAAAATCACCACTCACACCGACCGCACTCCCCAGATATCAGCGCTGTGGAAAGTGAAGGGGCTGTTCCTGCTGTGCGGTTTGGGGTAAAAAGAAGGCAGGATTAAAGCGCTCATTTCAAGTCCCAAAAGTAAAATACGACTTGGCCTACGGCAGTCCTAATTCTTTCCAGAACTCATCCCCGGAATTGCCCTTTTAAACAACCAGCCATTAACCCGACTCCGGTCTTTTATAGCTGCGAAAACCGATCGCACACATCATTTATTAATTACGCCTATTATTGTTGTTATTGCAGAAAAGCAGCGAATTCCCGGGGAGGGGTTCAAAGGGTTTTTTTCGGGGGGCAATGCGCGAGCTGGGTTGCAAGGCAGAGGTGCCCAGAAATCCCCGGGGAAGGATGCCGTGAGAGCGCCCCCGCCCCGCACGCTTTGGGGGTACCGCACATCCGCGCAGCTGCTGCAGCAACCGGGAAAGCTTCTTATGTAAGTCAGAGCCGCTGACATCACCTTCGCCGTGAGCGTCGCAGCCGGACTTGATGCCTAAGGACCCACTCACCTGCCTAGTGCCCCCGCCCACCGTCGGTTCATTTCTAAATGATTCCGCAGACACCTGATTTGACCGACGATGCGCCTGGGGACCCACCTGAGTGCGTCTCTGAAGGCAGATGACACAGAATTACATTTATTGGGAGCCATAGGGTGTCGCAAGAGTTAAGTTAACAGGCAACAAAGATGCTTAGGGGTCTTCCACACGCGGGTGGATTTGGGCTACAGTACACGGGTGGGGGTGACGCCTCTGTGATCCTCGGAGGGCAGATGGCACAGAGAACCATTTGGTAAAAACCCTGTGTTTGTTTAGGGCAGAAAAAAATGTCCAGGAGTCTCATCGCTTTCCCCAGGGCCCGGGACACTCCTCCCTCCACACCGCCCCTCTGGGCTAGAAGGCTGGAGCAGAGCGCTTGGGAGTTCACTCCAGGAGGCAAGCGGCGCCTCATTACGTCGGAACTGAGAGCTCAAGGCACAAGTTCGGGGCTCCGCGCAGCTCTTAAGGTCAACAGTAAGAGTGACAAAACCGCAACGGTGAAGCAGAAGCCCTCAAAGGACACTCAGTACTACCCCCCCCCAAACACGCGTGGAGGTGGGGGAGGGACTATAGAGCTCAGGGCTGGGCTGCTGGAAACCACAGAAGTTGCACCAACACCTACGCTTCCCGGGTAAGGACCGGGGAGGCGAGCCCCAGAGGCGAATAACAGACCCCTCTGCCTCCTGTATCCCCATAAACGCTCCCTCTTAGCCCGCGCCTGCCTGCGAGTTCCCAGGCCGTCCCTTTAACTTTGTCCCCTCCTCATCCTTGCCTGGTAGTCTTCGCTGGAACTCTAAACACCGGAGGATTGGGGTGAGTCCCAGGGGAAGGGAAGTGTCGGGAAGCAAGAGTAAGGTGCAAGCTGCAGTGGGCGCGGCGCCGCGGGGCTGGGATTGCGGCGACTGAGAAGGGCGGAGGGTGCTGCGCAGGAGGGGAACGCCGCGCAGGCGGCGCGGGTACTCACGCACTGCCTCCTGCTTGGGGTCCAGCGTGCCGAGGACGCGCTGCACGCCGCCGAGCTTGCCCTGCAGCGCCCAGACGCGGCGGTGGGTCAGCTGGATGTC